CATTTTTCATTTCTGAAAAATAAGACATCCCCTGAAAATAAGACCTAGCGCATCTTTGGGAGCAAAAATTAATATAAGACACTGTCTTATTTTCGGGGAAACAGGGTATACAAGGTCTCTTCAATTGCTGCATTACAAATGAGGGCTAACATTTATCCAACTAGGGAGTTTATCCTAGGTGTAGATGGGTGGGGATGGTCACCCTAACCTTTCCACATATATCTAGACAGTGCTATAAAACTAAAGATGCTCAGATTAAAAGACATAAGAGGATAGTCTCAGCTGTGACTTATAGTAAACTTGGGTGGAAGATAATAGTGGAGCCACATCTTAGAAATACTGAAGGGAATTTGCATAAGCAGGATGTTTTTGTGAAGGGGTGATACTACAGTCGTAGTAGATGTTACCATTTGTTGGAAGGACAATTTTGACATTTGGAAAGGGCCCACAGGGAGAAGGTTGACAACTATTACTCCAAGTTGGAAGATCACCCCTTGTACAGGGAGCAGCGGGTTCCTTCCTACTGGACAGAGTGAGGATCACTGGATCTCAGCCCCAGCCTACCACAGCCCCATCTTAGCCCCATGCTCCCAGCCCTCCATGCCATCCCAAAGCCACCTGCCTGGTCCCCTGCACTCCACACCCGCCGCTCCCCCCCCCCCAGCCCATCCCAGCCTGCATGGCCTATACAGTCCCCTATGCTCCACCCCTGCTCTGCAACCCCTGCCCAGCCTCTGCACCCTCAGCCTACACCTTTCCTATCCCACACTGTGGTAGCACCTCCAGAACCCAGCCACAGTGGGGTTGAAGTGGCAGAGGTGGGCAGGGGCTGGCTGCTGCCTGGGTAGCAGAGCCCACATGCCGACAGGGAACCGGGCGAGTCATTGTATTAGTGTCTGAAGCCCCAGGAGCACTCATGGTGCTACCAGGAGCAGCCCTGAGCCATGATCTTACTGCACTGGGGGCACGAGTGCTTCCCCAGCGGGGGGCTTCTTCCTGCTCCTTGGAGTGCCTGTTAGGGGATGGCCCCTGTCCAAGGCAGCCCCACCAGCCTCCATCTCAAAAATCTGCTGTGGCCTAGTTTGTCTATAGCTAGAGCAATTCCTGACTGGCAGCTATCAATACTCTTCAGCATAATAATACTTAAGTGAGAGGCATTGTGCACATATAACTATATTTCTAACCTTTATAGGTCTCTTTATTAGTCAGCAAATAAAGAGATTCACCTTAGGAAAATGCAAGTTAATACAGGTGGGGAATAATAATCTGAAAACAGATATTCAGTGGGTGGGTCAAACCTGGAAAGTAGCCTTCCAGCAGTGACGGGGAGGGACAAAGAAAGAAATAAGACTATAGTGTATGATGTAGGATGACAGCAAAAAATAAAGAATGTCAATATGATTTTATGCTGCATACAAGAAGATGACATGTTCTGGAGTAACAAATTATAATCTCTCTGTGTATGACTCAGTTGAGACAAAACCTTGAAATATTTATTACTTCAGTGTCAGGAAATTTGATCAATAGCCAGATGCTGAACAGATTAACAGGTGAAGAAAGTTATTTTAATCAGTCTATTATATAGCTTAACCAAGTTATTAAACAGGGATGTATTAACCATTCTACAAGTATACGAAAGGTGTAAACACCAGGCGTGGAGAACAATATTTTAGGATGGTGTAAGGAGGTCACCAAGGATAATAGATTCAAATAAAGAAAAGGGATTTTTCAATATCAGGAAAAGTGCTTTGGGAGCAATTGTGGATCTGGATCCATTGCACTTCTAAGAGAAGGCACAACGTGCCTCAGGTGGCACGTGACTAGGATTCATCACCGAACTTGGAGCGCTGTTTGAATCATTAGCTTCCCCAGCTTAGTACTGGTACTGATGGGGAGTGCGATGTGAACACTGATCCATGCCCTTCCCCCCCATCCATTGCAATTATGAGCAGTTACACAAGTAGGCCTACTGTCTTTAGTGGAATTGTTTTTGTAGATAAATAGTCCTCCACGTAAGGGCTGAGTGATCTAGTCCTGAAATATTATAGTGACTGACCGTGCAACTTAACTGCTGAGTGGCCTCCCTTGTGAATTAGTGGAAGACCTATCACTAGGGATATTTAAAAATAAATTAGAAAATGTACTGAAAATAAGAATACTAAATTTCATAATCCTGAAGTAATAAATTCCATTCAAGAAAAGTTAAATAACTAAGTACCTATTTCGGCACCTAAATAAGTAAGAGATCTGCAATTTCAAAACTACCACGGAAGACATTGGATTTTTATGTAAGCTTAGGAACACAAGTTTTAAACTTTTGGCCTTAGTGCTGTTTATTTAGGGGGATGGTCCTCCCTTTGGCCAACTGGCATTTATGTGCTTATTTTGGCTAGTATATACAATATTAAAGAACACAGGCTCTTTATTATAATGCTTGCGAAGCTTGCCTTAAAATTGTAATGCTTCTATAACATGGACAGAGACAGAGTACACAATTCATAGATATATTTACTATTTGAAAGAAACCTCAGTGTTTTCATACCTACTTTGAAAAATATACAAGAACCAGCAGGGGAATTACTAAAAATTCATCTTAAGCCTATTTCCATTCACATTGTGTCTTTTCATAGCACCCTCTTAACTATGCTACAGGAGGCTGCACTGTTACCTCAGATTCAAACACAGCCCATGTTCACCTTTTCCCTGTGTCTGTAAGAGAGAGGCAAAGTTGATCAACAAGAAAATTTGTAACAACGAGGAGTCCTTGTGGCACCTTATAGACTAACAAATTTATTTGGGCATAAGCTTTTGTGGGCTAGAACCCACTTCATCAGATGCATGGAGTGGAAAATACAAGAGCAGGTATAAATACATGAAAAGATGGGCGTTGCCTTACCAAGTGTGAGATCAATCACAGGTAATATGATCACAGTTTCTTAATGCTGAAGCTATGTAAAACACAAGTAAGGGCAGTTATAGCAATTTAAGCAGCAATAGTGATTCTCACCTTCTGAGCATTTCAGGTCATGTACTGTCCCTTTTTTCACATAAAAAAAAATCACAATAGTTTGCCCATGCAATTGTTGAGAAAACACTTTATCTTCTTTCCTCACTTAGGCTGCCACAGCTGAAAACGCTGCCATAACCCTAACAAACACTATTCTGGCACTAATTAGACAATGTACAAATAGATTCTGTTTAATAATTTTTTCTCATGCAAATTTTTCTCATGCACTCTGAGAACTACAAGGCAGGGAGGTCAAATCATAACTTTTATTGGCTCAACTTCTGCAGGTGGGAAGCAGAGCAGGCTCCAGGCACCAGCAAAGCGAGCAGGTGCTTGGGGCAGCACGTTTTCAGGGACGGCATTCCAGCCAGTTCTTTTTTTTTT